ATTTCTTTTGGAGGATTGTGCGCTAAAATGATGCATCGTAAGAGATGTTTCAATGATGCATCATAAGAGATGTCCCTGACCAAGCATCTTTATTATTATAGGTTCAAGAGTTATCTATCTTTCGCCAATAAACTTATCAATTTAAAATGTATTATAAATAAAGGAAAAACTAATGTATATGAAAAAATTAGCTATAACCTTCTAAATTGTAATCCTAATTTAATCCATTTTGACCACAAATATTCAATTTTGACTTTTTTTTTCTACAATTATTTTTTTGCCGTCGGTTTCCGGCGTTGACTTTTTCGAATATTTTTTTCTAAATATATATCCATTTTTTTACGCCCACCGCTAAACGCTGACCGTAATTGTACTGTCATTAACGGTAATTACACCGTCGCTGATAGTACATTAACGTAAGTGTACTGTCGTTGACAGTACATTTATGTTATTGTACTGTCGTCGAAAGTATATTTATGTTATTGTACTGTCGTCGACAGTACAATTACAGTCAACAACAATATTATTAATGTTACAGTAATATTACTGTGGACTACGGTAATGTTAATGTCAACCAGATCATATTAATTCTTTTGGATTTTTTATGTTTACCTTTGTTCAATGGTCAACATATTTACTCTATTACACAATAATAATGACTTTTGTTGTGTTAATATTAATGTGATATATATTAATATAGCAATATTACTGTGCTAAACTGTAGTATAGTTAATATTACTGTGTTTAACAGTAATATAGTTAATATGACTGTCACCACAACAATATTATTGTTTAAACATGGCAAAAAGATGTTAAAGAAAAAGAAAAAAATCAACGCCGTCGAAGACCGGCGTTGACCGCCGGTCAGCGGCAGCAGAAGCAGAATTTGTTTTTGAAAAATTTAACGGCAGAGACCGGCGGTTAACACCGCAAACCGGCGGAAAATCAAGAAGGAGACGGTTGACCGACTGCGACGGGCGAAATTGTACTCAAAATTGAGTTGTGTCAAAATTGAATTTTGTGAAATTTGGGGTCAAATTGAGGTTAAATTAAATTAAAGGATGAAATTGGAGCATATTAAAATGTGATGGCCAATTTTAGTCTTTTACACACCTCTGAATAATGTATGACCTTTTTTATAAATAAAAATTATCTGAACCCCTTTATAAATAAATATCCATCGATGGACTTATTTGTATATGCTCTAATTAATAATGTGAGATTTGTTAATCGAAGCGTAGAAAATACAATAAATTCTTAATTTGACAAGGAAATACTATGTAATGAAAGGTGGCGAAGTTACACAGATGATGGTCTAGTGGTTGGAGCAAGTACGCCTGTATTAATTGACTCACATTCAAATTTTCTTGTCAACGATCGTCAGGTGGAGCTTGTCACATATGGTTACTCTAATGTGGTTTACGTCTCTCGTATAATTTGTAAGCTATTATACATGAATTTAAGTTTACGCAGTGCACCTATATGATTAGCTGCAGAGTTCCTTCATTACCAATAAAGAAATGGTCGGCCAAAATCTAACAATGAATGAAGTAACTTGGGGTCTAGATTTGCCGAAACAGGGCTTTGTATTCTTGAGCTGCTTTGTATTCTTGAGCATAACATTCTTTTATTTGGATTTGATTAACTTCTATAAAAATGTAGATTTTTATTTGAGTTAAGTTCCTCGTCCGCTCTTTTAATTTGTATTTGTCAAATTATCATTGCAAATCAGTTGAGTCAATTAATTATAATTAGTTATCACTTTCACTCCTCTCCATTTGCCCTCCTTTCAAGTCAACTAATCTATAATTTAGTTAAGTAATTTGAACTAGTTTACTAAACTGATTTTATATTAATTAATTGACTTAAATCAATTGATTCAACTGATTTTATATCAATTGAATTCAAAAAAAAGTAGTCAATTACTCTATTTTAGTGTTAATTCTTTTGTTAATAGTAAAATTATTGTTTCTTTCTTTTAGATTATATATACTTTACGGTATATAAATGAACTCCGACATAATTTGGATTAAGTTGAAAAGCCGGAGAAAAATATCTACAATGTTTGCATTTTGAATTGTAAAATATGAATTTCGTCAAGGTCATCGACAAATATCAAAATTATACTTTCTCCTCAAATAAGTAGAGTGTAATGAATGAAAACAAAATAATAATAAAAAAGCAGGCGGTGTCAATTGTATGATTGAACAGCTAGCTAGCTGGTGTCACGTTTATTTTGGTTTGGACAAAGGTAGAAATATATGTTGGAGATATTTTCAGACCAATCGACTTGGTTTCGGCCACAAGGTATAAATATCTGCCAGACATGATTTTTTATTTATTTTTTTTTTTTTTTGGATCCATCAGTAGATATTTTCGTGAGTTTTCTTTGATATTTTAGCGGGAATAACTTTAAGAGTAAAAAGCAGTTTGCCCCCTAAATTAAGGGTCGATTTGCACTTTACCCCCCAAACAAAAAAAATTTGCAAGTTTTTACCTTAACTCGTTAATTCGTTGCACGGTGCCCCCTAAACTCAATTTTCCGGCAATTTTGACCAGAATGTTAAAACATGTGCGATGCACGTGAGATTTGAAGGGTAAATTTGTCCCTTCACTTACATCTTATATGTTAATTATAAATTAATTATTAAAAAAAAAAAAAAAGAAAAAAAAAAAATTAAATAACTCAGTCATCCGTCGCCCACACCACCCAAATCCAACTCATCCCCCAATCCAAAGAACCGAACACTCTCATTTCAACAAGTCCCTTAATTTTCCGACGACCGGCAGCCTCACTCCTCCCTTCACGGCCATAGGTGAAGGTGACAATGATTTGGAATAACCCGAATCAGTTGATTTTTCAAGTATGCAGCCAAGATCTGTACAACCAATCGAAATTTTCGGGTCTCCAAAGTCTCAACCTTCGTATGCCGACACCATCAGTGCGATAACCACCGATCCGGATTTTATAGCGACACTAGCGGAATTAATCCATTAGCCTCGTCGTCGGCGTCAAAACGTAGTCGTTTCGCAATGGGATGGTGGGAGGTTGTGGGCTGGGATTTGGGGGTGGGTCTCGTTGTCGGAGTCGGTTCTCGGTTGTTGTGGTGAAGTTGTTCAGGTTAATCGCGGCGGCGGAATCTGTGGGAACTGGATTACGGAGACTAAGTGATGAACGAGAAAGAAGAATTAGAATCAGGGAAAATAAAGGGAGAAAAAGAAATTGAAAGAAAATAAGAAAAAAACAAACGAAAGAAGATTTAAGTTTGGGTCGTCTCTTCAGATTTTAATATTCCATCGTTCTGAATTCGAGGTTCTTAGCTTGTTGTTTATTATCTTCCTTATAATTGATCGTCGTTGTTGAATTGATAAATTGTTGTTCTCAAAAAAAAAAAAAAGATTTAGAATCAGGGAAAAGAAAGGGACAAAAAAAAAATTGAAAGAAAGAAAAGAAAAAAAAACGAAAGATGAAGAAGAAATGGAGAAAGTCCAGCAGCTGCTGCAAGACTGCTTCAATGGTGGTGCCATGGTGGTCTACGGGATGAGTGGATGACAACTCATTTTTGTTCTTTTTCTTTTTTATTTATTTATTATTATTATTATTTTATTTTAAATATTAAAATATATAATGTAAGGGAGTGACCAATTTGCCCCTGCAAATCTCATGTGCAATACACGTGTAGTCATATTTCCGTCAAAATTACCGGAATATTCCTTTTAGGAGGCACCGTGCAATGAATTAACGAGTTCAGGTAAAAACGTGCAAATTTACCAAGTATGGGGGGCAAAGTGCAAAACGGGCTTTAATTTAGGGGGTAAACTGCTTTTTACTCTAACTTTAATTAGTAACATTATTGCATCTGTCCTTTTCATTACCATACTCCTAAACAAGAAAATAGAAATTAACACAAAGATCTGCTCGAAAAATGCCATTGTCCACATCATCATTCT